TTAAAATTGAGTACATACGAATTAATTCAACTTCAGTTAATAATCTAATTTGGAATGATTCATATTTCATACAGACACAGTATAAGAATTGAAACATTTCATACCAAAATGATCATAATATCGTAATATCATATTCATAACATTTCTCGCCATCTAATTCTACATTAAATCCGCGAATGGATCTAGTTCACTGACAAAGTTTTCAGAGGCGGCATCGGTTATTCCTGCTTTGGAAAACCTTTTAATTATGTCGTCTTTTCTAGTTGATAGAAAGTTGTAGGTGTCTAATCACTAATGTCTATGATCCATTCCGGCTCACAATTCCGCCTTTTTCACACTAGCAATTGTTTACGTTCAAGTTCATGTCAGTAGAAGCTGTTTTTAAAACTGTTATAGCCAGTCGTGGCTTTCATGTTTACATGAAATCGACATGGCCGAAGCCGGATCTTAGCGACAAGCTCAAAGTTCAGCTGGATAAAGATAACAATGACGACCCTTTTGCGGTAGCTGTTATTAAGATCAATAACACGAAAGATAAATCAGCAGCTGGAGAAGTGGTGGGACACTTTCTGAGAGAAATAAGCAGGCATGTTCATTTCTTCATAAAGTTAGGCGGGAAAGTCGATGTCTCTGTTTATGATGTTAAATTGGCAAGTTTCCATAACTAATTTTTTGTGATCAGCGGTAATAACCGCTTTTTTTACGCTAAAAAAGCGCTTATTGATAAAACCAACCGTTATTTGGCGATTATAAAGCGATTATAAACGGTCCCGTTAATTAACGATTAAAAACGATTATAATCGCTTTTTCCATAAAATTTTTTTGCAAAAGCGATTATTAGCGCTTTAAAAGCGATAATAAATCGCGAATTAAAATTATTAGTGATAAAAAAACGCTTTTATTTTAGGGTTGTCGATTATTATCGCTCCGTAAGCGCTTTTCAAAAAAACGCTTATAAACCGTTTTTTGGACCGTTTTTAAAACGCTTTTAATCGACTATAAGCGATTATATTCACTAGGGAAAGTTCCAAATTAAAAAGCGCCTACTAATCGTTAAAAAAACGCTTTTTTATTTTAAGTTAATAAGCGGTTTAAATCGATTATAAAACGATTATAAGCGACAATAAGCGATTTTTTGAAATCTGCTAAAAAGCGATATTTTCACTATGATCAGCGCTTATAACCGCTTTTCTTGAAATTTTCCTACTGAAAAGCGTTTATAAGCGCTTATTTATTTGCTGTCCATAAGCGATTATAAACGATTATAAGCGCTTTTTTACGTATTTGAAACGAGGAAAAAATTGTCAGGTACGAGATATTATAAGCGATTATAAGTGATTATAAAGTATCGTAAATGTTATTGTCTTAAATTGTCGCTTATAAGCGATTATAAACGATGAAAAGCGCTTTTTGACGCATTTTAAAACTATGATCAAAATATGTTTTGATTTGATTTATTTGGGGTATATAAGCGATTATGTAAGCGGGGTATATAAGCGATTATAAACGATTATAAGCGCTTAATTCTTTACGTATTTGGAACGAGGACACAATTAACAACAAAAATTACGCGATAGCCGGAGGTCCCCAGGTAACGTCTCCGTCTCCGTCTCCGTCTCCGTCTCCGTCTCCATCTCCGTCTCCGTCTCCGTCTCCGTCTCCGTCTCCGTTTCCGTCTCCGTCTCCGTCTCCGTCTTCGTCTCCGTCTCCGTTTCCGTCTCCTTCTCCGTCTCCGTCTCCGTCTCCGTCTCCGTCTCCGTCTCCGTCTCCGTCTCCGTTTCCGTCTCCTTCTCCGTCTCCGTCTCCGTCTCCGTCTCCGTCTCCGTCTCCGTCTCCTTCTCCGTCTCCGTCTCCGTCTCCGTCTCCGTCTCCGTCTCCGTCTCCGTCTCCGTCTCCGTCTCCTTCTCCGTCTCCGTCTCCGTCTTCGTCTCCGTCTCCGTCTCCGTCTCCGTCTCCGTCTCCGTCTCCGTCTCCGTCTCCGTCTCCGTCTCCGTCTCCTTCTCCTTTTCCTTTTTGAATTCGATTGTTTAGGGCTAGGGCTCGGGTTAGGGTTGTGGTAAGGGTAACGAATAGCTTCGGGGTTATATATTATGGTCGTTAGGGTTGGGATTACGCAGGAGGAGCAAAGTGCAAAGAAACTGCCATAAACTGCTATAAACTGCTACTAACTGCTACAAACTGGCACTAACTGCCACAAACTGGCACTAACTGCTACAAACGGGCACTGACTGCTACAAACGGGCACTAACTGCTGCAATCGCGCCCACGCATTGCTCCTCCTGTGATTAGGGTTTATGTAAAACCGTTTTTTTACGGCTGAAAAACTATAAAAACCTTGTACCCCCATTGTTGTTTCATTATTATACCCCAGTAGAGTTTCTACGATACAAGGGGAGCTGCGCAATTGTGCGCGGCGGGTCATATAATACAACGTATGATAATAAAAACCAAAGTCACATGAAATTTTTGGGCGAGCGAAATAGTAAAAGCCAGCTCGGCATTTTGCCGCAATCTACGTGGTTGCGAGAAGAATTATTTGACGAGCGTACTAAATCACTCTACAGTCGATCTTTGAGATTGTTCTAAAAGGGCCCCCGACAGTTGAAACCAACTTCAATCGATGTATTTTCGGACGCTGATTCCGAATCACCCCCCATGACATATAATAATAGGGTTAAAATGCTCCCCTGACGAGATATAGGCGAAAAACTGTCTCGATCACGTGATATGACCGTATAAGGAAGTTAGTCTAATTTCTCGTTAGGGTTAGGGTTTCAGCATATGCTTTTGTTAAGGATTGGGTTAGGGTTAGGGTTGGGATCAGATAAGAGGGTTAGGGTTTCGAATAGTCGTTCAGGACCAGCTAGAGAACGGGTTGAAAAAGTCACGTGACAGTCGAGTGTAGAGCGATTAATTATCATCCATTATTTGATGCGCGGCGCAGCCCAGTAGTGCATCGCGCTACAAGTAATTGTTCTACTTTATTGTATCCCAGAGTGGTATTTGACGCACATTACTGGGCGGCGCTCAGCCTGTCATTCCGCCGAATCTCTATTATGAACATAATAGCCTGAGGTCCCCAGGTAAGACGCACGTTATAATTGTTTATATTAGGCGTGCAGAATTTTAACAAGAATTTCAACAAAAATTTTGCCGCGGTTAAACCACGCACGATCAATTTTTCTAATTGCCAAACACCACTCTGGGATATACAATAAAGTAGAACAATTACTTGTAGAGCGATGCACTATATACTAGACTGGACTGCGCCGCGCATCAAATAATTCTTCTCGCAACCACGTAGATCGCAGCAAAATGCACTATTGGGCCTTGCCAAACTGGCTTTTACTAATTCGCTGATTTGCTCGCCCAAAAATTTCCGCTCTTACTAAATCGTTCGCCCAAATTTTAAGAAAATTCTTGTGAAAAGGCCCTAGCTCTGGGTATGAAAGTGATCTGAATCGGTGTATTTTTAGACGCTGATTCCGAATCACCCCCCATGACGTAGTTAGGGTTAAAATGCTTCCCTGGAGAGTTATGGGCAAAAAACCGTTTTGGTCACGTGACAGGCTAGTAAAATACGAATTCGATTGTTTAGGGCTCGGGTTAGGGTTAGGGTTGTAGTAAGGGTTATGGTTAGCTTCGGGGTTACGGTATTAGGATTAGGGTTGGGATAAGGGTTTATGTAAAACCGTTTTGTACGGCTGCAAAACCATAAAAATCAAAGTCACGTGAAATTTTTGGGCGAGCGAATTAGTAAGAGCCAAAAATTTCATGTGACTTTGGTTTTTATTGTCATACGTTGTATGACCCGCCGCGCACAGGTGCGCGGCTCCCCTGTATCGTAGAAACTCTACAGGGGTATAGTGAAACGACGATGGGGGACGGGGGTTACTGGGCGGCGCTCAGCCTGTCATTCCGCCGAATCTTTATTCTTTATGAAACATAATAGCCTGGGGTCCCCAGGTAACGATGGGGGTCACGACGTGATACAAGGTTTTTATAGTTTTGCAGCCGTGCAAAACGGTTTTACATAAACCCTAATCCCAACCCTAACAACCAGTAACCATCTTACTATATATAAAGCGAGACGATATATATATATATATATGGCAACTTGTACGAACACCGATGGGACAGTAAGACAACATTAAGACAACATTAAGACAACAATAAGACAACATTAAGACAACATTAAGACAACAATAAGACAACGTTAACGCAACAAACACCAATAAGACAACAAACGATAAGACAACATTAAGACAACATTAAGGCAACATTAAGGCAACATTAAGGCAACATTAAAGCAAACATTAAGACAACATTAAGGCAACATTAAGACAACATTAAGGCAACAATAAGACAACAATAAGACAACAATAAGACAAGATTAAGACAACAAACACCGATAAGACAACAAAATAGGATAAAATATTAAGACAACATTAAGACAACATTAAGACAACATTAAGACAACAAACTCAATTAAGACAACATTAAGACAACATTAAAACAACAAACTCATTTAAGACAACATTAAGACAACAAACTCGTTTAAGACTACATTAATGCAACAAAATGTTTAGAATATGTAATATACGGCCGTGATTTCATTGCCGCAGTACACAGATTTTTGAAATTATCTGTTAAGATACTTTGGACTGCTAGTTAAAAGTCGGAAATTTAAATTGATGCTTAATTGATTTAAATGAAATAACTGGTTTACAATATAATGATGATAAATTGATACTAAAATAACTGGTTTACAATATAGAATAAAACAAATATCTTAATAACGAGTTTTAGGCTTTAGGGCGTTTCCTTGAGCATAAAGGCGTGTTAGGTCTCTATGTTTTCTGTTGCAGATATCTTTTGCCGCTGGGTATACGGTTTGGAGCGTTACTTTACGTAGCTGCAGGAACGAGCTCTCAAGGGATTGTCTGTCCACGAGTGCTGCTTCTGCAATGCACCTTTTTCTGTAGAAGTGCGATCGACAAATGCCTCTTTCTTCTAGGACTGCTGAAAGAGATTTCCCGTTGATGGTCAAGTTGAGTATTGTCCTGTATTCAACCAAAGCTCCGTCAATGCTGATGTTCCTCACTCGTGTCCGACGAGCTGCTGGAGGAGGTGGTGTATTTGGGGCTGCGGGAGGAGGGGTCGCCGGAGCTGCAGGAGGAGGGGTCACTGGAGCTGCTGGAGGAGGGGTCACTGGAGCTGCTGGAGGAGGGGTCGCTGGAGCTGCTGGAGGAGGGGTCGCTGGAGCTGCTGGAGGGGTCGCCGGAGCTGCGGGAGGAGGGGTCGCCGGAGCTGCGGGAGGAGGGGTCGCCGGAGCTGCTGGAGCTGCTGGAGGAGGGGTTGCTGGAGCTGCTGGAGGAGGGGTTGCTGGAGCTGCTGGAGGAGGGGTTGCTGGAGCTGCTGGAGCTGCAGGAGGTGGCGGGGAAGCAGGATTGGATGCAGTTGAGGAAGTGGATGGAGCAGAAGACAGTCTAGGAGCTGGGGGAGGAATGCCAGGGAGGTTGAGTCGAGGTCGACGTGAAAGAGAGGTAGTAGGTCTAGAAGGGCGAGATGTTGAGGATGCATGAGCAAGGCAAGGGTCGATAGTAAGGATAATCTGATGGGTAAGAGGTTCATCAGAGTAGCCACTTCTGGCAACAAGGACGCAACTGGAGCATTTGAGTGAAGGAAGAGAAGGAGCGATGTAACTTGTCCTAGGACAGGAGGTCGCGACGTGTCCAGTAGAAGCACAATGGGCACACTTCGGTGCAGGAGTAGGTCGGCTGTAACGGGTTCCTCGTCTAGTAACCATAGCAGTTGTACAAAAGTCAGATGGATGTGATTAGTAAACGATTCAGATAACTGATATCGACTGTGAGTTCCATTCGTTTATATACTATATAACTACTGTTATGTCACATCTTGTTAGCGAGATCACTTCTCCTGGATCGCGTCATCACCATGGCTCACGTGACTTTAAATGACATCTGGCTCACTCAACTTTTTACGATGCATCACATGTCAAATCACCTCAGATAATAATGTAACATCTTGTTAGCGATTCTCAGATCGCAGCTTGTAATTGTACAGTTCACGTCATGACCAGATCGTGTGGTATTAATGAGGGCCGTTGTTCGTGTTCTTATGGAATGTGGTATTAATCGAACAGTTCACGTCATGACCAGATCGTGTGGTATTAATGAGGGCCGTTGTTCGTGTTCTTATGGAATGTGGTATTAATCGAACAGTTCACGTCATGACCAGATCGTGTGGTATTAATGAGGGCCGTTGTTCGTGTTCTTATGGAATGTGGTATTAATCGAACAGTTCACGTCATGACCAGATCGTGTGGTATTAATGAGGGCCGTTGTTCGTGTTCTTATGGAATGTGGTATTAATCGAACAGTTCACGTCATGATTAGATCGTTTGGTATTAATGAGGCCGATGTTCGTGTTCTGCTCACGTGACAAATAGTATAAATAGAGGCCATCAAACCAACACTTTATCTAACGATACAACATGAACTCCCTTCCCTCCTACGAAGAGCTAAGACGCGGATCACTATCATCGGAAACGGAATGTCTACAGTACTGCTTGGATATCGGAATGCTGCGACCTTTCCAAACTTGTGAAGAGTGCAACAACTTTATGACCTTGAAGAAATGCCCAACGAGCAAGTACACAGACGGCTACTGCTGGCAGTGTTCAGACACTTCTTCAGACATCGACCACTTCTGCTCAGTGAGAACCGGGAGTATCCTCCACAAACGCAAGCTACCCTTCTCCGTATTCCTCCACATCATCTGGCTGTTCTGCAACCGACTGAGTGTCTGCGACGTAGCACGGATCATAACCATCAGCACCGGCTGTGTACGGTCCATCTTCTCCTCGATCCGAAATTGCATGCTTGAAGACCTGTTCGACAACGGTGCACGTAGAAAGATTGGTGGGGTCGGCTGTATAGTGGAGATTGACGAATCCAAATTCGGTAAACGAAAATATAACAGAGGTCGACGTGTAGTCGGAAAATGGGTGCTGGGTGGGTTCTGTAGGACTACTGGCGAATGCTTCTTAGTGGAGTGTACCGGCAATCGACGCGATCACAACACCCTAATCACACTCATCAAGGAGCACGTTCTACCGGGTACAACTATTCTCACCGACAAGTGGAAAGGTTATAACGCCCTGCAACACCACGGATTTCCTCATCAAGTTGTCAACCATAGTCGAGGATTTGTGGACCCGGTCACTGGTGTTCACACCAACAGCTGCGAAGGGATGTGGTTCCACGCTAAGAACCACATGCGAAGAGGAACCGGTCGTACCCGAACGGATTCAGCAGCCATGACTGTAGCCTTGTCAGAATTTATGTGGTGTAAGCGATACGGACTGACAAGAGACAACGCCTCCGTGAGGAAAGCCTTCAACCAAGATATCCCAGCCCTATTCAGAAGAATTTTTGATTAATTTATTGCTCTGTAGATTTGTATTACCTGATAAATAATGAGACCTAATTATTTCATTTTCAGAGTTTAAGTCACAATTTCGTATTACTCTAACTCAGTTGATGAAGTAAAATATAATTTGACAAAGTAAAATATATTCGAAGAAATAGTGTTATACTGTTATACATAATTTGTTGTCTTAAACGAATTTGTTGCTTTAATGTTGTCTTAATGTTGCCTTAATGATGCCTTAATGTTGTCTTAATGTTGTCTTATCGTTTGTTGTCTTATTGGTGTTTGTTGCGTTAATGTTGTCTTAATGTTGTCTTATTGGTGTCTTAATGTTGTCTTAATGTTGTCTTATCGTTTGTTGTCTTATTGGTGTTTGTTGCGTTAATGTTGTCTTAATGTTGTCTTATTGGTGTCTTAATGTTGTCTTATTTTTGTGTTAATGTGTCTTATTGGTGTCTTAATGTTGTCTTATTGTTGTCTTAATGTGTCTTAATGTTGTCTTACTGTCCCATCGGTGTTCGTACAAGTTGCCCAAGTTGCCTATATGGCAATATATTATATATATTTATTTATCCGTGCCATTTTACTGACACCACGGCATCAACTTTAACGCGAATTTCTGCAAAAACCGTAAAAGATATACAACTGAAACTTTTTTGACTGGGTCAAATGCTTTAATGGCCTCCAAATCAGCATGAAAAAATAAAAAATTGGCCAAGAAATAGGAGTTTTAGAGCCCAAAATTTGGTACCCCAAGTGGTGTCAAAAACGCGAATTAAATAGGTAATAATTGTTTTAGTCTCTTGAGTCTTGACACCATTTTAGGGTTAGACGGGTTCCTGCTAGTAATATATAATCCCGAAGCTATCCGATACCCTTACCACAACCCTAACCCGAGCACTAGCCCTAAACAATCGAATTCAAAAAAGGAAAAGGAGAAGGAGGAGGATCAGACGGAGACGGAGATGGGGGTGGAGACGGAGACAGAGACGGAGACGGAGACGGAGACTGAGACTGAGACGGAGACGGAGACGGAGACGGAGACGGAGACGGAGACGGAGACGGAGACGGAGACGGAGACGGAGACGGAGACGGAGACGGAGACGGAGACGGAGACGGAGACGGAGACGGAGACGGAGACGGAGACGGAGACGGAGACGGAGACGGAGACGGAGACGGAGACGGAGACGGAGACGGAGACGGAGACGGAGTATCAAATTGTTGTTATTCTCTAGCCGACGGCTTGCTAGTTAAATAAATCGTACGCGTAATCAGTTTCAATCCCGGCCTCACGGAAAATCCCGAAACACGCGGTATCATAAACGTATTCGTAAACGGATGAAAGGCGACCATGGTACTAGTTCTATATAGATTATAGCTATAAGTATTAGTAGAAGTGTTACTGAGAGATGTACTGCACTTTGTGTTCATGTGTCGGCAAGAGAATAACCTCATTTGATCTCCTTTTCCTTCTCCTTGTCTCCTTGTCTCCTTGTCTCCTTGTCTCCTTGTCTCCTTGTCTCCTTGTCTCCTTGTCTCCTTGTCTCCTTGTCTCCTTGTCTCCTTGTCTCCTTGTCTCCTTGTCTCCTTGTCTCCTTGTCTCCTTGTCTCCTTGTCTCCTTGTCTCCTTGTCTCCTTGTCTCCTTGTCTCATTGTCTCCTTGTCTCCTTGTCTCCTTGTCTCCTTGTCTCCTTGTCTCCTTGTCTCCTTGTCTCCTTGTCTCCTTGTCTCCTTGTCCTTGTCCTTGTCCTTGTCCTTGTCCTTGTCCTTGTCCTTGTCCTTGTCCTTGTCCTTGTCCTTGTCCTTGTCCTTGTCCTTGTCCTAGTCTCATTGTCCTTGTCTCCTTGTCCTTGTCTCTTGTCCTTGTCTCCTTGTCGTTGTCTCCTTGTCTTTGTCTCATTGTCTCCTTGTCCTTGTCTCCTTGTCCTTGTCTCCTTGTCCTTGTCTCCTTGTCCTTGTCTCCTTGTCCTTGTCTCCTTTTCCTTGTCTCCTTGTCCTTGTCTCATTGTTCTTGTCTCCTTGTCCTTGTCTCCTTGTCGTTGTCTCCTTGTCTTTGTCCCCTTCTCCTTCTCCTTCTCCTTCTCCTTCTCCTTCTCCTTCTCCTTCTCCTTCTCCTTCTCCTTCTCCTTCTCCTTCTCCTTCTCCTTCTCCTTCTCCTTCTCCTTCTCCTTCTCCTTCTCCTCCTCCTCCTCCTTCTCCTTCTCCTTCTCCTTCTCCTTCTCCTTCTCCTTCTCCTTCTCCTTCTCCTTCTCCTTCTCCTTCTCCTTCTCCTTCTCCTTCTCCTTCTCCTTCTCCTTCTCCTTCTCCTTCTCCTTCTCCTTCTCCTTCTCCTTCTCCTTCTCCTTCTCCTTCTCCTTCTCCTTCTCCTTCTCCTTCTCCTTCTCCTTCTCCTTCTCCTTCTCCTTCTCCTTCTCCTTCTCCTTCTCCTTCTCCTTCTCCTTCTCCTTCTCCTTCTCCTTCTCCTTCTCCTTCTCCTTCTCCTTCTCCTTCTCCTTCTCCTTCTCCTTCTCCTTCTCCTTCTCCTTCTCCTTCTCCTTCTCCTTCTCCTTCTCCTTCTCCTTCTCCTTCTCCTTCTCCTTCTCCTCCTCCTTCTCCTTCTCCTTCTCCTTCTCCTTCTCCTTCTCCTTCTCCTTCTCCTCCTCCTTCTCCTTCTCCTTCTCCTTCTCCTTCTCCTTCTCCTTCTCCTTCTCCTTCTCCTTCTCCTTCTCCTTCTCCTTCTCCTTCTCCTTCTCCTTCTCCTTCTCCTTCTCCTTCTCCTTCTCCTTCTCCTTCTCCTTCTCCTTCTCCTTCTCCTTCTCCTTCTCCTTCTCCTTCTCCTTCTCCTTCTCCTTCTCCTTCTCCTTCTCCTTCTCCTTCTCCTTCTCCTTCTCCTTCTCCTTCTCCTTCTCCTTCTCCTTCTCCTTCTCCTTCTCCTTCTCCTTCTCCTTCTCCTTCTCCTTCTCCTTCTCCTTCTCCTTCTCCTTCTCCTTCTCCTTCTCCTTCTCCTTCTCCTTCTCCTTCTCCTTCTCCTTCTCCTTCTCCTTCTCCTTCTCCTTCTCCTTCTCCTTCTCCTTCTCCTTCTCCTTCTCCTTCTCCTTCTCCTTCTCCTTCTCCTTCTCCTTCTCCTTCTCCTTCTCCTTCTCCTTCTCCT